TGCATCAACAATGTTGGGATAATAATTATATATCTCAACAACAGCAGGGACAATAGATCACTATTTGCAGGACTTAAACTTGAGGTTTAGTATCAGGACCTCATCTTTAGCCATTTTAACTACTAAGCCTAAACGGCCTCTCCACTCTGTCATGTATGCTTGAATTATGGCATTCCTAGTACTAGTGAATTCATTACCAGCCTAAGCTGTCTGTTCTAGTCTTTTCTTTTCTACTTTTTTGTGTTCCTATCATCTTTTTGATCTTGTCAATTTGCCTGATTAACATCTTATGATTGTGCCATCAGTGACCTCTCCAAGAATAATTTTTTTGGCATCATTCCTCAACAATTTGGACTGCTTACAACCCTGGAAGAGTGGAATTATTCCAGTAGAATTAGGAGGGCTGCATTCACTGAAACGCGTGTGAGTTTTCATCTGCTAATGTTTTAGTATTTTTAAAATACTATTATCACCTTTGCTAAAATAATTGTTTGCTAGGTTGCTCTGTAATAATAGATTTTTAAGATAATATTATCACCCTAAAACTATATATTGGCCTCATTATTGAAGAAGCCGTGCGCGCGCGCACAATTATTAAAGAAAGAGGCAGCCAACTTTCTTGTGTTTTTCTCCGTTGAAACTTGTCTTCCTCCCCTCTTTGTTACACATTGCAATCACCCTATTATGTTCTTTGTGAATAAATTGAGTTGAACAACCAAAGTAAAATAGTCGTGGATTGAAGCCTTTGGTTGGGTGTCTTTGATAAGGTTGTGATTGGTATACTGAGCCCGGATTCCACGAATTGAAGATCTATTCCACTATAAAATTAATTATTGATTTTGACTTTTATCAATATTTTTAACTGGATCAAACAAGGGCTGATTGATTTTGGCCTCTCCAGATCCGGATGACGGATAGAAGGCCAATTTCGCGCTCATTTCATAAGTATTTGAGTTTTATTTTTTAATTTCCTTTGGTATTTAGCCTCGATTTGACAACCATTAAAAATATTTTTTTACTTTTTATTTTTATTTTGAAGGATAAATAAGTTTTAAAATAGTAATTTTTCGAGATGTGTGGTTAAAAAGTAGAAAAATTTTAATTTATGTGCGGAATATTTTATTATAAAAATGAGACTTTCAGAAAAAAATTATTTTATTTTAATGATTGTTAAACAGGACTAATTGCTTCTCAGACACATTATTCCTGCCAGTCTGTATAGTTTTTTAACATCATATGTCAAAACTCTCGCTAGTTGTTTTTGTAGGCCATGAAAAAATGTAATGGAAAAATTAGGTTGGCTGCCAATCAAAATATTATGATTTGGGAGAAAGAAATTGTCCTTGGCTCTAGTGTAGATGCATATAACCGACTTTGAAGCTTTGTAGTAGTTTCGTCTATATTTAAAAATTAAAAATTTATTCCATTTCTAGTATAAAAATTGTAAAAAAAATTATAAAAAATAAATTTATCAATCAGAAGCTTGTCTTCATATCAAGCAAGCAGATTTAGAAGCCATCTTAAGTTAAAAAAAGAAAAAAAAGAAAAAATAAATAAATAAATAAAATTAGTAATAATAAATACGTCATATGATTGTTTTACACTTTTACTCTGTAAATTTAAAATTTTCTTTTTGTTGAGACTCCCGTTTGGATTGTTCTCTGACTTTAAGTTGATTATTTTATTTTAATTTTTCGCAAGGTTTAAGGTTTTATCTTTTAGTGTGCTATGTACATTTATATTATATGTTGTGTAATTTGTTATTATGTTTGATGAAATAAGTATGTGAGTAATGTCATTATTAATCTAGTGCAACTTGAACTTATTATTAAGAATATGTTTGCAAGTCAACCAAGTGGCCAAACTTTTAAGTTTTTATTTAATGAATTTCAAATTAGATGATAGTTTCAATTATTCATATTAAGATGATGCATGACATGACATGATGGTATTTTTTTTTTTTTTTATCTTTATTATATAGGTATACTGAGATTCGTAGTTATAAGAAATTTTTGAATTGTATTGTACATGATGTTTTTCTTTTTATAAACCATGTATGAAAAAAATGTCATGTGACCAAGTGGGAGAACGTAATAATTTAAGACGGCCCACATGATATCTATCTTATATTAATATTTCTTAATGGTTTAATATTTATTTATATTTGCAAAAGTTTTATTGGTTAATAAAGAGATTTCTTTTGATAATAGGTTTCTATAAAGAGGTCGTGTTTCGATAGAAGATACTATTCCAGATTCTTCTCTCTTCCCAATTAGCTTCAATCATAACCCTAAACCCTACATGTATTCATAAGTTACAATACTGAAATACATTTCCACTGTGCAGTAAAAAGTAAATTCTCTTTCGAATTCCTTTTGTATAATTTATTGTTACTTAGTCCTTTCTATTATTTAGATCATTCAGAACTCATTTAAACTCAACATTTACCTAAATTACCAATCATTGCATTACATTATGATAATTACAATATGTAAAATTTACACTAAAGTAATTCTTTATATGTGTAAGTCTATATCAAGAATTGCTTATCGTGACTACATTATGATCATGTATTTTATATTACGCTTGCTTAATATTTCAAGCTTTCAAGATCTCCATAATGGACTTCTTTTGTCCATTTGGATTCTAATGTCGAGATATACATTATATCGAGGATTGGGTGGAAAACTGGAAATAGTCCAATTAAGGGTGGTATATACAAGTGCGGTCCAGTCGACTAGCCTTGCATGTCAATGTTCGACCTTCAATTTACTAAAAAATGTGCATAAATAGAACTCAAGACCTCCCAATAACATATAAGACGACTATTATAAATAATAGTAAAAGTCGTGCACGCCTAAACTAATTCATTTTCAATGATCAATATTTTTTATACAATTTTCTTAGCTCTTGTGATCGAGATTATAATATTTACTTTAATAGAAAACGAGAATGTAACAAATCAAAGAAGATAATGTAATGACACACTCTACAAAAATCTTATTGCTTGTTGGACGCAATAAATTGCTGCCTTATCCAAGTCGACGGGGAGGAAAAAGCAGCCCACTGAATTGGATAGAATTTACTAAAAATAGATTTATGAAATTTAAAGTTCAGTGCTTTTAAAAATGCTCCAATCCTTTACTTATTTGGACCGATGATTACCAAACATCTCATTTGCACAGTAATTGAAGCCATCCACGTCCCATCACCCATCTAAATTCCGTACCTTTCAATCACTTCTAAATTCTAATTGATTTTAATTAGGTTGTGAGATTATATATATATATATATATATATATATATATATATATATATATTACTGATTACGTCCACAAGTTCCAATTTCACATAAATTTGCACTGCAGTCCCCAAGTATTCGCTTTGAAGCACTTGGATCCCCAATCAAATTTTCTTGTTTTCAAATTCTCAAACTTCCGTTTTTTGTGCAAGAATGGAGAAAAAAATGTGTGAAGAACATGTGCCTTGCACATAATTTATTTTCTATAAATAATTTTATGTAACACAAGTGGTGTTTATGATCAATATAACTGATAGTGAGATCATTGCTACATTCAGGGATGGCGGAAGGGGATAGTCCAACTATTTTTTCATAGGTAAAAAATGTAAAATCATCTCGATCGTCTTCTTCCACCTAGATTGGCACCTGTGCTAGCATCCCTAGACTTGTCTCCCTGGTTTTGCGGATACAAGAACACAATCGGGGATTCAAGTGCAGTGCAGAGCATATTTTGAGCACTGCAGATGCAAAATGTTCCCAATTTTATGATACTTGTCTCAAGGCCCTTGCCTTTGACACGACACTTCCCTCCATTCCTCACATGTTGCCCACTTATATCAATATTTTGGGCCACTCTTCTATCAGACATTGGCCAACCAAATATTAATTGCAAAGGAAATCAATTTGATAATTACTGCTTTAACCTAACTTGTTTTTTCTCTTACTAACAAGCTTTATTTGTGGCCCACTATCCCATCTAACAAATTATCAGAAAGAACTATTTTCTTTCAGTCATCATTTTACTTTTGAAATCTTTTCTAAGTTTGAAAAACACATTTTATTCAATAGCAAAAATTTTATTTGGTACATCGATTGTGAAGTACTTCGAGCAATTGTCACAAGATTTGAATCCTTTTTCATTCTTAAATCATTGATTTAATTAATATGATTGAAAAACGAAATCGATTTGACTTAAAAAAGTTCTAACCTTTTGAAACAGCTAACTAAAAGTTTACAATTTATGGAATCAATAAAAAGATAATCCTCAATATGAGCATATTACTTATTGTTTAATGTTTCTAAAAAAAAAAAAATTTAAATTAAAACTCTCTTGTTTGAATAATTTATTTGTTATATATATTTTACATTCTCTTGTTCTTTGATGGTTCACTTGATCGGGCAAATAGGACAATTAGAATTCGTACAAGTCAAAGCAATCCACAACCTAGATCCATTTGAGAAAAAGATGTCCATGAACCTTTGCTTTCCAATGAAAGCCATACTCCACGTGATCTTGCTTGGAGATTTTGAAATATCACAAATACATTCACACACAATAGGGACCCTACAATTCTCACCCTCCTTAACTAAGCAAATTTGACGGCATATTTACAATTGTAAAGTTCTTATTAGAAGACTAGGCAATCCCGATTATCCACAAAGAGTAATGCTATTCGTAGTTATTCACTGCGATAGTCGCCCTACGTGGCATACACATGGTAGATAATTCTTTGATACATTAATGTGGTAGTTTTTTTTATTTATTAATGCATCAAATAATCACATGCTATATGTATGTCATGTAGGGCGACTGCTGTAGTGAGCGATTGGAAATAGTATTATTCATCCAAAAATATGTAGTGCATGCGCAGAAAACGAAATTAAAATTTTATTCATTATATTGCTTGATGCTTTCGATGTGATTTTTTTTTAAAAGTCCTGGATCATGTGCACCCGACCCAAATTTTATTTAGTTTGCTAAAGATTATTGGGGTGGGGAGAGGGTGAGAATGGCTGAATCATGGATCCAAAAGGCAAAGTACCAATTATTAATTGATGCCATTGATTTCATCCCAAGTGAAAAATTTCACGCACAAAAGATGGAAAAGTGAAGGGTAAAAAGCATATAATAATAACATATCATGTATACCAAGAAACTCATTGGAGAAGGATTAGTAAACTGCCACTCCCCTTTCACCTATACACTCTACTTTCTTCTTCTCTCCCTCATCTCTCTATGAAGAACACCATTAGATGCTGCATATCTTGCATTCTGCCGTGCGGCGTCCTCGATGTGATTCGAATAGTCCATGCTAATGGGCGGGTTGAAGAGATAAGTGGCAGCATTAAAGCAGAAGAGATAATGAAATTGCATCCAAAGCATGTACTAAAGAAACCCTCATCACCCACAGGTGAAGGGATTTGCCCATCGATTGTTGCAGTTCCGCCTGATGCAGAACTTCAAAGAGGGAAGATTTATTTCCTCATGCCAGTGCCAGAAAAAACTCGATCAAGATCATCGATAAAGAAGGAAAAGAAAGAGACACAAATTGATATTGAGAACAACAACAACGTTGTCATGACGAATTTAGTAATGTCGGATAAATATTTGTCTGATATTCTTAAAGAGAAGGTATCAACGCAAAGGGATCGAAGAAGAGGGCGTGTTGGCATATGGAGACCTCACTTAGAGAGCATCACTGAGACGCCAATGGAAGCTTGAATGACGAGTAATCTTTATTCTAAGTTGTTTATTTTCAATATAGATCATCAAAAATAGGGCTTCAAGACTGAAAATATGAACGTTCCTTTTCAATTATCTTCTCTGAATTTTTTCTTTACTTATTATTACATGAAAAATAATTTTTCCAGAAGTTGTACTACTGTTAGAGTTATGTTTGTTATAAGGCGCAACATCTGTAGAAAAAGAGATTTTGATTGTGTTGCAGAAGTATTACTTTTAATTGCCTTGCTAGAGACTAGATACTTGTCGCATGGAGAAAGCACTTAAAAATGTTGCTTTTAAGCATGGATTATTAATAATAAGTTTTCAATTTCTAACTGGCTGATTGGGATTTATCATTCCAGCACCCACCACTGGGATAATGGGAAGAAATAAGTTTGCGTGTTTCCTAGTTGTACCTCCCTCATCTGTCGGCACCGCACGTAATTATTGTTATTATTTTGAGCGGAGGAGATACTAATGCTTAAATCGTTTGAGAAATAAAAGTTATTGTACTTATATGTAATTTATGAGTAGATTTTTTAAGCTAGGCTGAACATGCATTAATATTTTGGGACACAAATAGGGGAGATAGATCTGATAATTCATGATAGTAGCCGAAACAATAAAGCATGATAGACCTGACTTTTGAAAGAAAGAGCATGTCTACTTTCTTTGGATTAGATTAACATAATTTATAAAGAATACAAAGAAAAAATGAAAAAATTATGAACAAAAAGTTAACAGTGTCCACGCGTTACCAATTCTTTGTAATGATAATTAGTTTAGGGAATTAAGACCAAAAGATATCGTTATTGATATTCTACGAATCACTTAGAAATATTCACCATTGATACTTTGCTTGGGAAATTGTAGGAATCAAAAGATGTGGAGATCTCGATTCTTAAATCATAGACCATGTTTCTAAATATAACAATTCAAAAATTAATTAATCTACCATACAAAGTTTCAATCCCAAACCCTAACCATTTATCTCCCTTCTCTCTATCCAATCTTCCTGCCTCTCTTTTCTCACCCTCTCTTTAACCTCTTGTCGGCAATGAGGGTTGCACAGGACAATCGGTACAGTTGAAGATGTAGATCAACCCAAACAATAGCACGTCACATATCGTTTGTGGATAGGGCAACGTTGATGCTCGTGGCACTGCACGCAACGAGGTGCTGCAGATCGGGGGTCCTTTTTTCCATTTTTCTCTAGTCACAGGTGGTTGTGATGTGTAGTGGTACGGTGGTTGGGTTGGGTGTGGTGGTGATGTGTAGTTGTGGTGTGCGAGGGGTGGTTAGGTGCAATGCTATGCGCGATGGGTTGTTGAGTGTGGTGTTGTTGACCAATGATTGGGTATGGTGATGCGTCCGGTGGGTTGTTGGGGGCGGTGTTGTTGACCAGTGGTTGTGTGTGGTAATGATGTAGTGTTGTGTGTGGTGGTGTTGGTAGCATATGTGGCTCTGGTGGGTGTGTAGGGTATGGTGCTATTAACCAATGGTTGGGTATGGTGCTGTGTGCGGTAGTTGGGTGCGACGTGGTGGTGAGGTGATTGTTACAAATGATGGTGACGGTTACAAATTATTTGATTGATTGTAATCAATAAATTGATTAATATATGATCAATAAAAATAATATGCAATCAATTATTTGAGATTGTGATCAATAAATTGAATATTTTGTGACTAATAAATAATATGTGAACGATAACTTGTAACCAATAAATAATGTGTAATTTAAAATTTTGAATCGTAACCTATAAAATTTGTCATTTATGATTACTAAATAAATTGTGACACATAATTTTTTTGATTTATGACTAATGAATAGATTGTGACTTATAAAATGTTTGATTTGTGATCGTGAAATAATTTGTATCCTATAAAATTTTTGATTTATAACTAAGAAATAATTTGTAACCAATTAATTATTTAATTCGATAATTTGTGGCCAAATATTATTGAATTGTGAGGTTAATATATTTAATTAATAAAATAAATTTTTAATTAATTATTTAATAAATAAAATTTAACTAAAATTTGGTTTTTGAAGTTTCTAAATTTTGAAATGGACCAAACCTAATATCTAACATATGAAATTTCCCTACTTTTTTGGTCAATAAAACTGTTGGGTATTTTGATATTAATTAAACTCGGGACGATAAGATCATTGGGCTGAAAAAATATTTTTAAGTTTCGTTGGAAGCCGAGGATTGAATAGATTAATTAGATGGAAGACCATATAAATCCTACATATAAAAATCATATTTCTAAATTAACAAACTTCCTAAAATTTTACAAATATTTGGTGATAAATGAAATTATTAAATGTTTAATAATAATATAATATAATCAATCTACCTACTCCACCACTACTCCCACCAAATTTTAAAATTTAAATTCAAACCATTCTCTTTATCTCTCCGCCCCATTCCACCTCCGACGACCCCACCCCATTTCCGGCGACTTCTGTGATGACAACTCCGACGACCCCAACCTATCTCCGGCAACTGACGTTGTACCTTTTTTTTAAGCAATGACATGTGATCAGTTTCATTAAATCTGTGACATGTAACCAATTTTATTATATCTGTGACCTAATCAGATGATATGAATTATATGTAACTATTTGTGATCGAAATTATTTTCAGTGTGACTCTATGTGACCGTTTAATTTGTGATTGTATGTAATCAATTTATTGACCCACATTATCTGTGATTAACCGTGACCAACTCTGTTTTCGGTGTGGCTAACAATGACCAAAATTACATTCAGTGACTGTTTGTGACAAGGTCAATCTCATGTCACAATCAACACAAAATTCGTCACAAATACTCACAACAAATACAAGTTTGGTCACATGGGGTCACCACAAACAAATATGCACTCATCGCGACCCATATCATAATTTGCTCCTATTTCAAAGTAATAATTGAGATAAAAATGATGTTTTCTAGCCCCAGAAGACAAGGCTGGATGAAGGACAAGCCACTACAATTTTGCCAACCGTAAATTTGTGACAATTGCTTAAAAGAAGCAAAATCTCTCTTTCCTTCTCTTCTACCAGCAAACACACAATCGAAGTAATGGAGGACTTTTCAATTGAGAAGATTCAATTATCTGGCACTACATTGGCCTTCCTCATCCACCGTGTCTCTAGTGCCATCAACGACCTCACCACCACCATCTCCTCTATCTCCATTTAAACCACACCCAACCACCACCACCACCACCAAAAATTCCACAAACCCGTCGTCGCCACCACCGCACCACCCAAAGAACACCACCACCACCGTCTCTCCTCTCTCCATTTAAATCGTACCCAACCACCATCCCCACCAAAAAAACCCACAAACAAGCCGTCACCACCACCACAGCACACTATCACCGCCTGCACAATAACCATCTCAAAAATCGCAACAAAACATGTCGAAAAATTTACCAAAAAATCATACGATCCGTAAAACCACACAAAAGTCCGTAACACTGCACAAAAAGTCCAAATCGTCGTCGTGATCTAAAATGCCGAATAAGAGTTTAGTCCATATCGCCGCACCTCAACTCCACCGACGGTGTGATTTTAGAGAGAGAATAAGAAATGTAGAGAGAGAGAGAGAGAGATGAGAGTCGGTAGAGAGAGAAGACAGAAATGTTGGGAAAGATATGAGAGTGAGTAGAGAGAGAAGACATAAATTTCTTGGTGTGCGTGGGTGGGTGGGGTAATGGGGTTAGATGCGATAAATACGTGTATTCGATTTTGTAAATATATTTTTATTAGTTTTAGTTATTAAAATTTATTTAAGATCTGATTTGTGAAAATGAAACTTAATCTCTTGTTCTTTGAAAATTAATCTTTAAAATCAGGTTTCTAGCTAATTTTCCCTTAATTATAATTGGTAGCCCAAGAAACAGTTACAAGCAAAGAATATCACTATGGGCAACTAGAGGTGTTAATGAGCTCGACCCGTTGCTCTTGACCCATTTATGTTGACCTACCCATATATATATTTGACCCTTTTCTTTAGTGAGATCATTACATACACATAGTTATATCTTTTGCCCGTAAATTGAGAGAAACCTTTCTCTAGTTTTTTTNAAAGGTTGAACCTTCCCACCGTCCCGTCCTTAGAGAGAGGTAAATCGTAGGATGTGCTCTAACAGATCAAGGATCAAGAGCTGCATGTACACTACATCTACAAGGAGTCCAATTTCATGTCTCATGAATCGAATCCTCGCACTGCGGTTGCCAGCAAGACGTGAGAATACCTCATTTCTGTCCTTTGCACCACTGGACTATATTTCTGGGGCATCTAAATATATAATTCATTTATAAGTTTACTAGATTGAAAATTTGTGACGAAGAAAAAAAGTACAGATCCAATGTCACAAACTTGTGTTCTTTGGTTTATCAACGGAAGGTGTTATTATCGCTACAAAAACTGTTGGCCCATATAAAAAAGTTATAATTATAAACTTAATATTGAAAAAAATAAACTACAGATTTTAAGACAGATTATATCCCTTGGACATTCGGTCACTATTACAAAATTTATAATTTTTTTGGTAAAATATCAAATACTTTCTTCTTCTATTTCAATTCATTCCCATTACCTCCGAAGAAAATACAAGTTTTTTTTCTTAAAAATTATCTTTACTTTACAAGATAATATTCGAATGCATTTTCCTAGTTAGATTGAAACTACTTTTCCCAACAAGAAATAAATCGCCAAACAAATACAACGAAAATAATCATAAACAGGAATTATTATTATTATTATTATTATTATTATTATTATTATTATTATTATTATTATTATTATTTATTTTTATTTTTTTAAAGAAAACCTCTTCCTTAAATTACGTTAGATTGATGCTATTGTCTACGGCATTCTTTGCAGAATTATCTTTTGTATATGGCCTATGTGATTGCTTTTAAATAAGTTGGTTGAGGGCCTTGAGGCCATTTAAACAACATATTTAATCACTTTTTTATTAAAATCTATTATAATAATTTGATTTTAACACTAAGCAAAGAACGACTAAATATATCACACTTCAGACAAAATAATTTTCCTCAAGTTGTTGTCGTGTTGCGTGGCAGCTTATGAATGGGACCATGCATTTAGTGATAATAAATGAATTTAAATCTTTAATTTCTTTCCAATTCATATTTGATTTTTAAAATTTTTTTTAAGCAGAGAGATATCAAGTTTTAACAGTCATATTCTTGTTTGGAATTTATTCCAACCTCAAATTC